GGGGGGGCAAGGTCCTAGGGAGGCCAGAGACAAGGAGACCAGAGTGCATGCTGCGTAGACGTGACAAAAGAGGGGTGACCAAGACGATGGTGCCAGCGCTGAGTCTCGTGTGTGAGTACTTGCACGAGGAGGACGCAGCTAACTGACCCGACGCAGACGCCCGACTCGACTGCGACCAACTGACCTGACTCAGCCACCTGTGCAGACATAGTGGTCAGTGTGTACAGTCTGGACCCAGGCTATTGAGTGAATGTAGCCAGGTGACGGCCAGTCCGGGAAGCACGTACAGATCGCCACACGCTGCCCCTCAGGAATAAAGGTATCAACCCAGACATCCTGAATGCAGCGTTGCTCACAAGTTCGTCGAGAACGTGGGGAGGTGGAAGACCTGACAGAGAGCCGGGAGGTACTGCTGGACCAGGGAGAACCGTGGAGGCTCTCGTAACTACTGAGCCCCCAGAGGGGTCAGCCAGTGAGACTGGGATAGGTGATGTGAGTGGTGTGGCTATGGTGGAATCACGAAAGAAGCAACGTGACGCACCTGAGTCAAGCGTGAAAGTGTGCAAGACCTCAGCTGAGGCAGGACCTATGGCAGTAGACGCACTAGCACCTAGAGCGTCGGCAGACTCCACGGGCACCTAGAGCTGTAGCAGACTCACTAGCACCTGGAGCGGCAGCAGACTCACTAGAACCGAGAGCAGCAACCGCTACACAACCAGGGACGCACCGCTGAGAAGCACAATTGCGGGGTCGCTGAGGCCCCACATAAAACAAAACCTCCACCACACAGGACGGGCCTCGCTGAACAACCCACTCACAAAGCTGCTGAGGGGTGGGGTCGTCCGGGTGGGGCAGTACCCGTTGCTATCCACCCCTAGCCGCTGCAACTGCCAAGATGGCGGCCATGACAGGCAGTGACGGTCAGTAGTAGGTCCAGCACCTCCAGTATCAGCAGCACCTCCTGTACTCCCAGTCGCACCTCCAACACTCCCAGCAGCACCTCCACCAGCAGCAGCAGTAGTAGTAGCAGGGCGGCTCGGTGGGGCTGGGCAGCGGCACCTCCAACACTCCCAGCAGAACCTCCACCAGCAGCAGCAGTGGAATGAGCAGCTGCAGCAGCAGTAGTAGCAGCAGGGCGGCTCGGCAGTAGCAGCAGTGCTTAGCAGCAGCAGCAGTTGAGGCGGCAGCAGCACCACAGTGGCAGCAGCAGTGGAGGCGACAGTAGCAGCTCTGGCGGCAGCTGCAGGTAGCAGCAACAGCAGCAGCAGTGCTTAGCAGCAACCTGCAGTAGTTGTTGAGGTAGCAGCAGTAGTGTAACAGCAGTAGCACGTGGGAGCAGCAGTGCAGGTGGCAGCAGCAGCTCTGGCGGCAGCAGCACGTAGCAGCAGCAAAAAGCAGTGCTTAGCAACAGCCAGCAGCAGCAGTGCAGCAGCAGCACAGCAGCAGTAGCACAATCCAAGCAGCAGTGTAGGTGGCAGCAGCAGCTCTGCGGCAGTATAGCAGCTCTGGCGGCAGCAGCAGGTAGCAGCAGTGCAGTAGCAGAGCTTAGAAGCAGCCGGCCAGCAGCAGTGAGGCGGCAGCTGTCAGAATCAAGAAGTGATTGAACTATGAAAAGTTGAAGTACAAGTAGCAAACCCAAGCTTGTGTAACCCCTTAAAGGCTAACCCACTATAGCCTACACAACAACACCACCTATAGTTTGACACACCCCAATAGGCAAAGTGGGGGAGAGCAAGGGGTCACGAGACCAGTCAAGAGAGGCAAGCAAGCTCAGGGTGGATCACAACGTCACCACACATTCCAAGCACAAGCAAAGGGCCACATGGCCAGTTCACATGCAGAAGTATATATGCAGTACAAACAACAAGTGTGAACTCAACCTAGCAGAGCAGGCAGGCAGGAGTATATATAGAGATCACAGGACAGGTAAAGCCTACAACAAGTGAGGAAAGTGGGCACCAGCCCCAGCAAAGTACAGAAGCGCCGATGATCACCATGCTGAAGTGCCTTGGTGAATATATCAGCGGTGTTGGCCTGAGAGGCCACGTAACGCAGACGAAGGTGACCGCGCTGCTGCAGCTCCCGAGCGAGGAAGTAACGAAGAGCAATATGCTTCGTTCTGTGCTCCAGTCTGTGCTCCTCACACAAGGCAATGGCAGCCTTGTTGTCGACGTACAGCACTGGAGGAGAACTAGGCCGCTCTCCCAGGTCGGTCAGCAGGTAGGTGAGCCAGCGTAACTCCTGTGCAGCCATGGCTGTGGCGTAGATCTCAGCCTCACAACTGAGCTGAGAACTGAAGACGAACGCGTAGAGCGCCACGAAACTGAGCCAGAGCCAAGGCTGAAGGTGTAACATTGTGACGACCGCTGAGTAGCCTAGTCGTCAACCCAAGAAGCATCTGAGTGCCCACTGAGAACAACTGAGCTCCCTCCTCCTAGCACGAGCCCATGCCCGATATACTGCACAAGTAGCGCACGACCCTCTTTGCAGCATCCCAGTGCACCTTTCGGTGTCTGCCAGGAGCCACGTAGCGGGCCAGAAGCCAGAGGGTATGCTAGGTCAGGATGAGTGCAAGTCATCAGGTACATGAGGCAACCAATCAGCTCTGGGTAGGGACCACTCGACTCTACGGACTCATCCGAAGGCAGAGCTGAGAGCGACTGACCTACAGCCAGAGGAGTGGCCTGTGCTGAGGACCAGGTGAAGACGAAGTGCTGAAGGACCTGCTGCACCATATGTGACTGAGTCAGGGTAATGGTGCGGCGTGCTCTGTCCCGGATGATCTGCAAGCCAAAGTAGCTGCGCAGTTCACCCAAGTCTGTGGACGTGTGTCTCTTCTGCAGCTCCGACTTCACGTGGGCGAGAGCCTCAGTGTCAGCAGTGGCAAAGACCAAGTCGTCGATGTACACGAGGATGTAGAACGGCGGCAACGAAGTGTCGGTGAGCAGAAATAGCGACGGGTCAGCAGTAGAGGGCGCGAACCCAAGTGCCGCCAGAGTAGACCTCAGTGTGTCGTGCCACTCACGTGCGCCCTGGCGGAGACCGTAGACTGGCCGCCGGAGGCTCCACTGGGTACCAGGAGGAAACGACCCAGTGAAACCAGGAGGCGGCGCAGCCAGATCTCCTCGTGCAGACTGCCCTGCAAGAAAGCAGTGCTGAAGTCAAGAGAGTGAAGCTCGTAGTCACGCTAAGCAGCAACGTGCAGTAGCACCCGAAGAGTGGTCATCTTCGGGGTGGGGGAGAAGGTCTGAAAGAAGTCTACTCCCTCTTGCTGACTGAAGCCTCGAGCAACGTAACGAGCCTTGAAGACAGGCGGAGAACCCGGTGGCCGCTTCACCCTGAAAATCCACATGCCACTGACTATGTTCGCCCCAGGAGGCGGAACCTCGTCAACGTAAGTGCCAGTAGACTTCCAAGATGCCATCTCTGTATCCATGGCTGACTGCCACTGAGAGGAGTACTCACCCGCGATTGCCTCAGCGTAAGAGCACGGGGTCGGGATGTCTGGAGCATCCGGGTCTCCCTCAGGGGCAATCAGCATGGACACGAGATGAGCGTAGTGGCTGCAAGACACTCAAGGTCCTCCTGTCTGTCCTCAAGGACGTCCGTGCCTAGAGCACACTCACCCCGACGGACGGAGGACAGACATACTCAGACTCAGCAACAAGACTGGCAGCGTAGTCGAGACGACACTGAGCAGCAAAGTCAACTAGCTCAACAACTAGGGCAGACGCTGGAGCAGACTCAAGGAAGGGTCCGTGACAGCAGTGGCCAGGAGACGCGTGATAGTAGGACTGGCAGCACGAAGGGAGTCAGACTCTGGGTCAGCAAGAACAGGAAGAGAGGACTCAGGAGGAGACGGCAGAGGGACATGCTGTGGAGCAGTGGAAGGAGATAGAGTCATATAGTATGTGCCAGGCACACGTGGAGGACGCTCACGCTGACCACGGCGACCAGTGCGAGCAGCACGAACAGGTGACACAGGACGCGACACAGGCAACACAAGACGAGACTCAGGCTCACGACGCTCTGTAAGACCGCCTGTCGGACCAGTGTAGGGAGAGGACCAGAAGTGGCGGGGCAGGTGGGAGCTGGGACTGCGACTGGACAGGCGGAGGACACTCTAAGGAGGGAGGAGGACTAGGAGGAGGCGGCTGACCAAAAACCTGCTGAAGGAGCGGATTGAAGTAAAGCTGCGGCCGTGAAGTGCCCCTAGAAGCAGCAGAGAGACAGCACTAGAGGCTCCAGCCGAACCAGCACCAGCAGCACCTCCGGTAGCTCCAGAATCTCCAGTAGCACCAGCAGCACCTCCAGCAGCTCCAGGACCTCCAGCAGCACCAGCAGCACCAGCACCAGCAGCACCTCCGGCAGCTCCACAGCCTCCAGTAGCACCAACAGCACCTCCAGCAGCACCAGCACCAGCAGCACCTCCGACAGCTCCAGAACCCCCAGCAGCACCAGCAGCACCTCCAAAAGCTCCAAAACCTCCAGCAGCACCAGTGCCAGCAGCACCACTAGTAGTAGCACCAGCAGCACCTCCACCAGGCGGTACCTCAATACGAGGAGCTCCACTCCTGAGGCTGCAGCGCCGAGCGTACCACTCACGTAGCCGCTAAGGGGAGGGAGGCTCGGGCTGTGGGACTGCACCTGCGAGGCCACTAGCCCGACTCCAGCAGACCCCCCAGCTCCAGTAGCCCCACGACGGAGGCTGTAGCGCTGAGAGTACCACTCACGCAGCTGCTGTGAAGAGGGAGCGCCACCAGGTTCAGCACCCCTAGTCTCAGCACCCCAGGCTCAGCACCCTAGTCGCAGCACCTCCAGGCTCAGCACCCCCAGTCTCAGCACCCCCAGGCTCAGCACCCCAGTCTCAGCACCCCCAGGCCTAGCACCTCCAGTCTCTGCACCCCCAAGATCAGCACCCCTAGTCTCAGTGCCCCTAGACCCAGAACCACCAGGCTCAGCACACTCAGTACCTCGCGCAGGACAAAGTCAATAGCTACCTCGACAGGCTCGACCGGGTCTACCTGGGAAACACCTGAGGGAGCAGCACCATGGGGAGGAAGGGGGTCTACCGACGGGACACCTGGGGTGAGGAAGAGCGGCGGGGGGGGGGAGCGGGGCAGTGCGGTAGGGGAAGAGACGGCAAAAGGGTACCGACTCGTCAAAGGTGACGTCCTGAGAGGCGAAGAAAGACACGGCGGGAGGTGGGGTGGTAAAACCGCCAGCCAGGCGCGTCAGGGACAAAGCCCAGGAAGACACAGGGAACCGCACGGGAGGAGAGTTTGTCCGCGGACGTATCGCGGACAAAGGCTCGACATCCCCAGACTTGGAAACACCGACGCGTCGCCAACCTCCCCCGTCCAACGCAGAGTAGGCGAGGTCTCCGGAACAGAGACACGGGGCCAGAGGTTGAGCTGATGCGCGGCGTACTGCATTGCAAACGGCCACAGGAAATGGGGAGCAGCCGCATGGATCATGGAGGTACGAGCGACCTCCATGACAAGACCAATGCGGCGCTCAGCAACCCCATTCTGCTGCGGAGAGGCCGGGAGAGTGAACGTCTGGCGGATGCCGTGCTCCGCACAGTAGGCTGCCAAGAGGTTAGAGGGAAAACTCGCCACCTCTGTCAGAGTGCAGACGTAGGACAGGAAAGTCCGACTAGAACCGCTGGCGGAGCTGGAGACGAGCAGCGCGGATCCAGGGGATCAAGACAACAGGGACCTCACCCTTGGTACGCAAGGGGAAGACCGTGGTGTAGCGCGTGTAGTCGTCGACGACCAGCAAAAAGCACCGCTCGTGGCCCTGTCCCCGGACGCGGGCGGGGTCCCACACGTCCAGGTGGAGAGTCTGCAATGGAGCCTCTGTGGGAGGGAACGAGGAGGAGTGAGGAGCGGCGCGCTGCCGCCCCTCGACACAGGGAAGACAGGGAGGAGCAGGGGAGGGTGGCAGGGGAGGGAGAACTCTGGGAAGACCAAAGACAAGATACCTGGAGTGCATGCCGCGAAGGCGCTGCACTGACGGGTGACCAAGGGCGGTGGCGCCAGAGGACAGTCCTGTGTGACAGGGAGCGACACGAGTAGGGGGCCGACAGCTGACCTGACGCAGACGCAACCGCAGCTACCTGAGGGGACTGAGTGGTCAGTGTGTACAAGTCCGACCCCGGCTGCCGAGTGAAGGTAGCCAGGTGACGGACCCGTCCGGGCACACGTGCAGTGCGTCACACGCTCGTAGGCCGGGGTGAACTAGTGAACACACCGCGTCCTGGAGCACGAAACCCGCCACCAAGTTTGTAGAGAACGAGGGGAGGTAGAGGCCCGACAGCGTGCCAGACGGGACAGCAGGACAAGGGAGGGCAGTGGTGGAGGTCGTAAGGACCGGACCCCCTGAGGGGTCTGCCAGGGAGACAGCAACCGGTATAGGGAGCTGCTCGAGGGCAGTGCGGTCGCGAAAGAAAACAGCGGGAAGCACCGGAGTCCAGTGTGAAGGTGTGCAGTGCCTCAGTAGGTGCAGTACCAGCAGACGCAGACGCACTAGCACCTAGGGCAGCAGCCTCACCAGGACCTAGAGCAGCAGATGCGCTAGCACCTAGAGCTGCAGCCTCACTGATACCGATGCCCGGGTCAGGCGGAACACTCAGGTAACAGTCACCCTCAGCACTAATAGTCAATGCATACATGGCTGCAAGAATAGCATCATAATCAAGAGCAAAGATATCAATCCCTTCTTAGGCAGATCAGCCCCGCGGGGCAGTTCAGAGGCGTCAGGAAACTGCTCACGCCAGGCGTCGTCGAGGCAAAAGAAACAGCGCTGCGCAGTGTGAAACCTCCCACAAGTCTGGCTAGTGCGGTCACCTGTACGGATGACATACGGGCAAGTACCCCCTCCCCCAGACCCCCCACACTAAGAGTACCACTCACGGAGCTGCTGGGGCGAGGGAGCCTCGCTGGGGCGCTGCTGCTGCTGCCTCTGGCCACCGCCAAACCCCCACGCTGTACCGCTCCACCGCGTCCGCCCCCCCGCTCCACCGCCGCCACCACTGCCAGCACCACCGCCACCACCCCCACCACCGTCGCCGCCGGCCACACCCCGGTGCCTCCACTGACCCCCCACCACCCGTGCCACTCCCACTCGCCACCCCCCCCCCCCCCCCCCCCCCCCTCCCCCCACCTCCTCCACCGCCGCCGCCCCCTCCGCCACCTCCACCACCCCGGCCCCCCTTGCCCCTGCGCCCTTGCGTCTCCCACTAGGAGCAAACGCGGCCCGACTCTCTCAGCTCTGAGGAAGTCGACAGCAGCAGTAGATGCAATGGAGGGGAGGAGGGGGAGGGGGAGCACCCCTCAAAGAAGGGGGTGCGGGGTCACCACGAGAGGCACCTACAGCGACAATGCTCTTCTCAGCTGCTAGGAGCTCCTTCTTGAGGAGGTCGACAGTGAGGTCAGTGGGGGAGAGGGCGAGAAACTGGTCTGTGACAGTGTAAGGGAGTCAGGGAGGCGGGTGACAAGGTGGTACAGTGTGAGGTACATCGGTGGGGGGTTCTTGGCGAGGAAATCGGGGGGGGGGGGAGCGCTGCACGGTAGCGGAGGTCACTGGTACGGAGGTGGGTGATGAGGTCAGCTACAGTGGCAAAGGCGGACAGGTCTGGGAAGAGGTAGGGCAGTGAGAGACGGCCTATGGCAGCTGTGGCAGGAGAGGAGTAGCGCGCGACTACTGCGTCGTACAGCTCCTTGGCGGTCTTATGCTGTCCGAAGTGCTCATGCTCATCTAACGGTAGGTGACTGCGAATAGCTAGGCGAGCGTGTGCATCACGGGTCTGCCACTGGGAGCGAGCAGTACTGTCAGTAGTAGCGGGAGGTGCGGGAGCAGCGCCTGACGTGTGGTCATAGAGGGAAACATCATCCTTGGCAGTTATCTGGATGTACAGGAGGAGGTCATCAAGCCAGACATCGAACTTAATCGGGCGGCCCTCCGTGTCAAAGGTGAGAACAGTGGGACTGGCCATAGTGGCAGTAGCAGGGAGCAGTAGTAGCAGTAGCAGCAGTAGCAGTAGTAACAGCAGTAGCAGAAGGAGCAGGTAGGGCGGCGCGACTCAGTTACGGTGGCGCGGCTCGGGCGGTGCGACTCGGGCGGCGCGACTCGGCGGCGCGGCTCGGGGCGGCGCGGCTCGCGTGGGTAGGCGGCGCGCGACGCCGGGCCTATGCTCGGTGCGTGGCGGTGCCTAGGGTGCGGCTGCGCGAGGGTCGCGGCTGCGTCTAGCGGCGGCGAAGCACCCGGGTCGCGGCTGCGTTCTAGCGCAGGCTGCAGCAGCCGGCACGTGATCGCGCGGGTGGCCTAGCGGGCGGGCGGCTGTGGGTCGCGCGTCGGCCTAGGGGCTAGCGGGGCCTATAGTGTTTTGACAACAGCAGTAGTGCTTAGCAGCAGTGCAGCACCAGCAGCACAGTCGGTAGCAGTAGCAAGGGGGAGCAGCAGCAGCAACAACTTAGGCGCAGTAGCAGCTCAGGCGTAGCAGCAACTCTGGTGCAGCAGTGCGCTAGCAGTTCGTGGGCAGGGCAAGCAGCGCGCGGGCAGCAAATGCAGCGTGCGAGCAGCAGGGGCAGCGCGCAAGCAGCGGGCGCAACGTGCGGGCTGCAGGACAGGGCGTCGCGCGGGCTGCGCAGAGGGGCGCGCGTGACTAGGCAGTAAAAAAAAAATAATCTCGCCTAGGGAATGGGGGCGTCTCGCATAAGGCACGTTTCAGGTAGTATAAAAGAACGGGACGCCGCGAAGGGGCGCGACTCGGGTAGAAGATCGAAAATCGAATGGGGGCGCACGGTCGCTCTTAATACCATGTCAAATTAGAGGAGAGGAATGATGTCGACTAGGTCAAGGGGGGGGTACAAGAAGAAAGACGAGAGAAAAGTTGCAACCCTAAGATGCATCTCACTACAGGCTAAGTAAGAGCAATGATATAACTTTGACATGAAAGGGCGAATCTTCAATGTCAGGTGGAATTTCTTACTGATTGATCCAAATTATTGTGCTCTGACGACGCAAATCTGTTGTGTCAGGGCGATTTTGCTGTGATTGGGCAAAAATAGTGTGTTGTAAGGCGCGGATTTGCTGTTTCAAGCTGATTTTGCATTGACAGTGTGAATCTGCTGTGACCCGTGAAGTCCGAACCGAATCATCTATCAAGAACGCAAGCAGAAAACGGAATCGGTACGCGCTTGTACTCCGAGTGATCAGAGTACGCTCCTTGAAAACTCTGAAAAATCAGAGTTAGCTTTAAAATTTCTTTGAAAATATGGGGCCGAGTTGGTTTAAAAAAAAATATCAATTCTCATACTTGCAAATCAGAGAAATTTCTCTGACTTCTGGGGGCCAGCTCGGATGCCAGTTCCCCTTTGTCTGTCAAGTGTGAGAGAAGACTATAAAGCCTTCTAATGACCTTGTTGGTAAATTGAAAGAGAACAACATGTGTCAGAATCCCAACCACTAAACCATTGGGATGAAATGGCTTGTTTTAGTAGCGGGTCAGTGCGCCCATAATCCCAGGCTAACAGGCCTGTAACCCGCCAAGAATCAATCGCGGATCTCACTGTGCAAGTCTTCTAACACCCCCCACACTGGGAGGTCCAGTACTCGACACAGCAGCAACAGCCTGCATGTGCATACGCCGGAATTCGAACCCGAGACCGTTCTGATACCATGCTAGAATCCCAACCACTAGACCATTGGCATAAAGGGCTTGTTAAAGAGCGGGTGAGTACGCCCATAATCCCCCAGAACAACGAGCTTGTAACCCTTCCTTAGGATCAATCGGGGATCACCAGTGGACCTCTGACACCCCCTCGCACTGGGATGCCCTAAATGCACACACTAGGACTCAAACCCGAGACCTTCGCTCTGATACCATATCAGAATCCCAACCACTAGACATTGGGATAAAATGGCTTGTTTCAGTAGCGGGTCAGTGCGCCCATAACCCCCCAAGCTAACAGGCTTGTAACCTCCAAAGGATCGATCGGGGATCTCAAAGTGTAAGTCTTCTGACAATGTGATTATAGAATAGGAGTACAAGGATATAAATAGCAATCCTAGCTAGCCATGTACTCTGAGGGGTACATTCCCTTATTCATTGAATTACATTGCTACAGTAACCCCGACTATTGCTATTCTTGACAATTACCATGTTGCATCTCGTAACTACCAAGTGCGGTTACTGGGCAGTCAAGGGTCACGACCGTTGAGTGTCTTCGACTGTTGACCTTCGGATGACCCTCGACCTTCCGCATGCTCTATATGAGCTATGGTTGTACTGGTACAGGCGAGTTCCTTCGTTATGGAGTGACGCGCGAGTAGAGAACCTTCGGGAATGTTATGATAACCTTTCGGTATTCCAACACTCCCCTTCATTCCTGAGGTGAGCCATGTGGACTTCTAGGTGATCCCGCAGAGGTCGGCGCAGTGCTGGAACTGTTGACGTGGCTGTTTCTTCGTCAGAAAGTCGGCTGCCATGTCG